TGCCATCATCAGCCCCCTTCGCGAATGCGGTCCCTTCAGCCCGAGACTTGGTTGCCATTCCCAAAGGTGCCCCTGGAAATGCTCCCTCTGGGGGCCCTGGCCCGGGAGGCAGCTGCACCCCCACCTCAATTGGAGCCCCACGATCATTGCCATGGCTCCCCATGGAAGTCTGACCACCATCAGCCTCCCCACTTAGGCACCCAGAAATAAGAAACCAAAGACTGTTTGGGGTAGGGGGGGCTAACTGGACACCACCCCAATTCAGTCCTGCAGCAGTTTTCTTGGTCTCGGTATCCCAGGACCCCCCTGGCCAACTGCTCTCCCCCACATCCTGGGCCCTATCTCTGCGGCCTCTTGCCTAGCCATCACCCCCAAGGAGAAGCAGAAAGAAAGAACAGACCCCAGACAGGACCACACACACACACACACACACACAGAGACGCTCCGTGCCCTGGTTTATTTATTTTCCTCGGTTGCTTATTTTGAAGGCACATCCTTTCCGCTCGGTCTCGGGTGACCCCCTGACCCTCCTGTGTCCTGTTTGCAGGACCCCAGGCGGGCAGAATAACCAAAAAAGATGCTGTGGCCAGAAGACATTCTAAGGACCTGGCAGGAAACTGTCCGGGTCCCGGGGGGACATGCGGAGGACAGTACAGAGACCCCAGAGGTCACTAGACCCACCCAGCCACCCCCCTTCCCCATCCTTAACTCTCCCCTAACCGGTGCCCACCACCAGTTAAAGTAGGAAACAAGACCTGGATTACCTCAAATGAGTCAGAGTGCACAGGGGGGTGCAGAGATGGGGAGCCCAGAAATGCAAATGTCTGCCCCACACCGGCAGCTACAGGGCTTCGTCCTCCTAAGGAGACAGGCAGCCACGTGAAGCTGATTCTTTCATCAGTGACATAAATTAGGCCCTCTCCCCAACACTCCCTCCCTTCCCAGGCAGAGCAGGAGGATTCTACAGGTCCTAGTCGCTCGGGTGTGACCCCCCCCCCCCACCCTGGGAACTCCGAGGATCAGTATCCCTGCAGTGGCTGGTTGTGCAGCGCCAAGACTGAGCCAGGACCCGGGTTCTTGGTGGAGTCTTGCCCGGCTCCCTGCCCTACGGCACATAAGATGCATCTCCAGTTTTGCCGAGGAGAACACAGAGGCTGGAGAGAAGGGATTTATTCAAAAGCAGCAAAATAACCAGGAGACGCACTGCAGACCCCAAGTAGAGTCTAACTAGCTCTACCACGCTTGCTGTGGCGTGTAATAAGCTCCGATGACTGTCACCATGGGTCACACTGCCAAGACTTTTCCCAATCTCCCTAGAGCATCTATCGACATTAAGGTGACACATCCATCCCCATACTTGAGCACAATCTGCTACTTCGAGATACTATGCTCAGGGCTGGAGCTAAGAAACATATCCACGTAAAGAAACTCTGGCATATCTACGCAATGGAATACTATGCAGCTGTTAGGAAAAAATGAAGTCATGAAATTTGCCTATAAATGAATGGACATGGAGAGTATCATGCTGAGTGAAATGAGTCAGATGGAGAGGGACAGATATAGAATGACTGAATTCATTTATGGTATATAAAAATATATATATAGTAGAAGAAAAATATTCATGACCAGGGAAAACCGGGGCTTGGAGGACTGGTCAATGGTTGGAACTAACCACAGGTGTGTTTGGGGCACAGAATAGATAAGATAGAGAAGAGACCAGTATGACAATAATATCTGGGAATGATCATGCTGGACAAAATCTGAGGGCTAAAAGTAGGTAAAGGAGGGGCTGGAGCAATAGCACAGCGGGTAGGGCGTTTGCCTTGCACGCAGCCAACATGGCCGACTCGAGTTCGATTCCCAGCATCCCATATGGTCACCCGAGCACTGCCAGGAGAAATTCCTGAGTGCATGAGTCAGGAGTAATCCCTGAGCATCGCCGGGTGTGACCCACAAAAGCAAAAAAAAAAAAAAAGTAGGTAAAGGAATATTCTTGATAACCTTCCAGTAAACCACAAATGCCCAAAAGGAGAGAGAGAGAAAGAGAGCGGGAGAGAGAGAGAGAGAGAGAGAGAGAGAGAGAGAGAAGAAAATCATCTGCCATAGGGGCAGGGGTGGGGGGTGGGGGGTCATGGAGGGAACCTGGGGACACCAGTGCTGGGCAATGTACACTGGTAGAGGGATGTGTGTTGGAACACTGACTGAAACCCAATCATGAACATCTTTGTACGAGTCTATATCAGTAATTCAATGAAAAAGTTGAAAGAAAGAAAGAGGAGAGGGAGAGAGAGAGAGAGAGAGAGAGAGAGAGAGAGAGAGAGAGTGTAATGTAACCACAGGGCCAGAGAGACAGTACAAGGGTTGAGGCAAGTCCTTGCATCCTACCAGCCCCAGTTCGAATCCCCAGCACCATGTACAAGTCCCCACGCCACTGCCAGGGGACACTTCTGAGCACAGAGCCAGGAGCAGCCCCTGAGCACTGTTGGGTGTGGCCCAAGCACCTCCACCTCCCCCCACCACCCCCACCACAATAAAAGAAATACACTCAACACGACCCTTTCCCTCAAAGAATCCAAAGATCAGCAATTAGTAAAGTACAGAGAGCGGTAAAATAGTCATGAACCAAAGTACTAGAGGCCTAAGGAAGAAGAATTATCTTTACAAGAAGAGCCGTTCCACAGAGCTGAACTGGCATTTACGAGAGTAATCGAAGTTTACAAGGTCAGTAAGGCAAGGACATCGGGCACATTCAACTTGGGGAACAAGGTACGTGAGGAGACCAAGGTTAGAAACCTTGGCTGGGCAATCCAAAGTCATTCTATTTGGCTAAGGCATAAAGTACTTTTTTTTTTTCTTTAATGCCCAGAAACCAAACTGGGTAGGTCCTCTGCTGGGCTAAGAATAAAGGCTGTGGGGGGCGGGGAGGGCGGAGTGAGCTGGAGCTCAGACTCGGCATGCAAAAGGGGAGGGTTTGATTCCCGACACCACACATTTTCCTGAGCACACAGCCCCGAGTAATCTCCTCCCCCCCACACACACATACACTCACACACACCACCGGGTGTGGCCCCCAAACAAAGAAGTCTTGTACATTTAACTGAGGAGCGGAGGCAGGGAACTGTCTCATCATTCTCTGCCCACCTGAGCGGTGGAGTGGGGCCCCATCTGCCCGGGTCCTGGCTGCAGGATGCAGGACGGTAGCATGTGCAGGCTGACCACTTGCGCACTGTCAGGTGAGCATGGTGGAAAATCACAATGTTTATCCAGGGGCTTTTGCAGGCTCTGGGCTCAGAGATCACTCCACGTGGCCTCAGGACAACACCCTCTGGGGTACTAGGTATCGAACCCAGGTTGACTGGGTGCAAGGCAAGAGCCCCACCTGCTCTGCTGTTGTTCCCGGCTCTGTCCAAAGCTCTCAGCCCTTCTTCCCCACTGGGTAAACCTGCCTCTTCACACCCACACCCGTCACAGGGCTGGAGAGTCCAGAGGCAAAGGCTCCCCGAGAGGGCCTGGAACTCGTTCTGGCATCCAGAGTTTAGAACTGACACCACCGTCCTCCCGAGTCCCGACTGCTTCCGCCTGTGAACAGACCTGTCCACGCGACTTCACTTTTATTTTTTTCATAGAGGCCACCCCCAGGGGTGCTCGGGGAGCCAGGGGTCACTCCCCATGGGTACTCGGGCACTCAGCAGGCCCAGGGTGCCAACGTAGCTCCAAGCACCGGGGCTGCTTCTCCAGCCTCTCAAATCCCATTTCATTCTTAACGCTCAGACCCTGATTCTCATGGGGTGACACGGCCCTGGCCGCCACCAGAGGCAGAGCAGAGAGTTTCCGAACGACACACGCTCGCTCGAGGCCTCGGCCTGCAAACAGTGCTATTTTCGGGTTCACTGGAAGCTGGAGTCCAGACGTTGTCTGTCCGCAAGAAGTTTACAAATTAGCCAGGAAAATAAGCAGAAAGAAGGACAAATAGTAGATCAGACAGCTTTCTTTTTTTAATTTTTTTTTTTTTTTGCTTGGGGGCCACACCTGGCCGCACTCTGAGCTTCTACCTGGCTCTGTGCTCAAGGCTCACTCTGGGAGGGGCTCAGGGGACCCTATGTGGTGGCTATGGATCAAAATCAGGACTGGCCATGTGTCAGGCAAGCGCCTTAACCCCTGCTCACGCTCTCTCGCTCTCTCTCTCTTCTCTCTCTCTCAGATCACACGGTATTCTGACAGTGCCACTTTCTAACTTAAACGCAGGGTCGACTTAGGGAGCACGTAGGATGAGTAAAAGGGCAATACTAAGGCACTCACTGGACGGCCGACAAGAAGAGGCAGAGAAAAAGAAGATCAATATTGACTGGTATTGTCAAAGGTCACTATTATTAATATTCCCCGTTTGGCATTTAATTGCTGTTTCTTTTGGCCAAGTTCAATCCTTAGAAGGAAAACCCAGGCAGAGGCTTCTGACAGGTCACAATTACCGACTCCCCATTCATTCCCTTGCCAGTCTCCCTGGATAAACACTGTGATTTTCCACCGTGCCCACAGGATGGTGCGCAAGCGGCCAGCCCGCGCATGCCGCCGTCCCTGGCTGCAGGATGCAGAGGGGACCCGGGCAAGATGGTACCCGGCTCCACTGGCCAGAGTGAGGACGTGCTCCCAACAAGCCCTGATTTCCCAACTGGGGAACCCAGCTTCCCAAGGTTAGAGAATTCTGTATGTAATCCCAAGTCACGTTAATAAAGACGGTCGACCGAGGCTAACTGGCCCGCTCTCACCATCAACCTTCGTGCCCACCCCCGCTCCTTCCGTCCGTCTCACGCGTGAGACTTCCCACACATGGGCCCCGTCTCCCTGAGAAAGGGGGCTCTGGCACCATGCCAACAACCTGGCACGCTCAAACAGCAAGTCCACATCCCAGCGGCTGGGAAGAGGAAGTAAAAGTGCATGAGCCGAAAGGAAACTGCACGCACGCGCGCGCGCGCACACACACACACACACACACACGCTACCTCCGCCATAAATTGTTCCAAGAAGGAGTTTTCCTCAAATGGCTCCGTCTTCAACCGCTCTGTAATAGGAAGGGTGGGAAGGAAAAAAAAAAATCTGAGTTCTTGGTACTTTTTTTTTCTTTTTTTTTTTTTGCTTTTTGAGTCACACCCAGCGATACTCAGGGATTACTCCTGGCTTTGCACTCAGGAATCACTCCTGGCGGTGCTTGGGGGACCATATGGGATGCTGGGAATCGAACCGGGGTTGGTCGCTTGCAAGGCAAATCCCTTACCCGCTGTGCTATCGCTCCAGCCCCTAATATCTGAGTTCTTGAACTGAACAGATGGCACGGCGGGTAGGGTGCTGCCCTGCAAGCGACCAACTCCAGTTTGAACCCAGGCACCTCTTTTATGGTGCCCTGAGCACCACCAAGAATCACTCCTGAGCACAGGGCCCGTGAAGAGCCCCTGTACCTCCCTGGGTGTGGCCCAAAACCCCTTGCTGCTCCCCCCAAATAAAGAAATGTGAGTTTTCAGGATGGGTCTCTGACCTACAAGAGGGAAAGGGGTCAGAGCTGTGTATTCCTTTGGGAGAAAAGAAGGACGTATGCACCCAGGGGCCCCTCACCCAGTGGGGAAAGAGGGGCTGAGGACTTGTGGACAGGGCCGGAGCAGTAGCACAGTGGACAGGGCGCTGGCCTCGCACCTCGTCAACTTCGATCCCCAATACCCCAGATGGCGTCCCGAGACCAGCAGGACTGACCCCTGAGCCCAGAGCCTGCAAAGCCGAGGACTGCCCAGTGTGGCCCCCAAACAAACAAATAACCGGGGAAAAATAGAGTTTGTGAGCAAACAGGAAGAGGGGGTGATGGGCCACCAACGACAGGCCTGGGAGGGTACCACGCGCTCTCTCCGGTCTTCCCACCCAAAGGCAAAGGTCGGACTGACTTCGGACATTAGAGCTCAGTGGCTTTCACAGAGTCCAAGAAGTCCTGCAGCCCTCACACCACACTGACCACTACTTGGCCCCATTCCAGCCTGTCCTGGCTGTTACCAGGGGTTGCGGGGGGGAGGACAGGCAAGGGGGGCGGGGAGGGTGTCTGGACTCAAGAGACACTTTCTACCCCTGCGTGGACACTAGCCAGGTGCTCGAGGCAGGGAGAAGTGCCAGTCTCTGAGCCCCGAGTGTCCAGTGTCTGGCCAGTGCCCAGTGTCCATGCTGGGGAAGCCCATTCCCTCAGGCCCCATGGGCACTCACCTCGGCTCAGCGTGGCCCCGCTCTCCTGGTAGTCCTGGAGTTCCAGGTCTTTCCGATGAAGCAACGTGGCGAGCTCCCGCACTTGGTGCTGCAGGGCCAGGCCCATGCCCAGCAGGGGACGGAGCAGATGCTGGGACACCTTCCATGGAGGAGGAGGAGGAGGAGAGAGGAATCAACCCACAGACCATTTCCAGGGCGCCCCAGCCCTCCTCACCTCGGCGGCACCAGAAAGGGGTGAAGAAGAAATGTTTCCAGAGGAACTTAAGGCTTTCAAAGGGAGCAATCCAGGGCAGAGAGATAGGAACAAGCAGAGCCACTAGGTCAGCAGACTAAAGGGGTGAGGGATTCCTTTTGGGGTACAGCTAACGCCTGGGAAGACATAGCCGAGATGTACAGAGAGAGAGGTCACAGTCACTAAGAACAGAGACCAAAGCAGACTGGGGCCAGAGGGACAGAACAGCAGGGCAAGGAGCTCACCGACCTTTGCAAGCAGCCGACCTGGGTGCAGTTCAGCAAAGGGCCCGCCAGCCCTGCCGGCACTGACCCCCCCCCCCCCCCCGAGCCCATAGGCAGGAGTGAGCCCCGAGCACTGCTGGATGAGGGCCAGAAAAAGAAGAAAAAGTAAAAACAGAGGATGTGAGCTACAGGGAAAAAAGGAAGACTAAAACCCACCGCAAGTGGGGAGCTTTGCAAGCTGATTTAGACCCAGACCACTAATTAAGATCCATTTCAGGGCTGATGATCGAACCTAGAGTTGCCCTGCTTCTCCCAAGGGCATCAGAGGGGCTGGAGCGATAGCACAGCGGGTAGGGCATTTGCCTTGCACGTGGCCGACCCAGGTTCGATTCCCAGCATTCCATATGGTCCCCTGAACATCGCCAGGAGTGATTCCTGAGTGCATGAGCCAGGAGTAACCCCTGTACATCTCCGGGTGTGACCCAAAAAGCAAAAAAAAAAAAAATCCAAGGGCAGCAGAGTCCACGGTCATGGCTGTCACAGAAGCGAGCTGGTCACTCAGTGCCCAGCCTGGGAGTACGAGCCATCATCCCCCTCACGGACACAGGCACCTCGTGCTGAACCGGAGAAGCAGAGGATAGGCCCTGGGTGGCTGATAGGCTCAGACAACGGTCTCCTAGGAGCCTTGGATGGTGCAGAATAGCTTCGCCCACCTCCGCCAGGTGCCCATTAGCTGGGCAATGAAAACAGCCCAAATCAATCATCTATTTGTGGCTCGGAGATGTTATCCATGTTCCTTCCTTTTCCCGGAGGAGAGGAACTCAGGGAGGCACGGAGAAACCAACGCCCCAGTCTAGAGATCAGAAAAGGTCTGTAAGAGCCAGAGTCGATACTGATAAATTTGCTTCCACAGCTCCCTTGGGGCCTTGGGTGACTCCCAGGCCGCTGCGTTAGCGTCTCACCGAGGAGAGAGGCCTTTTACTGAAACTTTATGGGAACAGGCAGCCCTGAAGTGCCAAGCCCTGCCCTGACCTCAGAAGGGGGACTTTTGGACGGGACACCCCACACAAATGGCAAGTGGAGAGGAGGCCCTCGTGTATCCCAGTAGACAAGCAAACCAGACGCAACTGGATCTGTGTCCAAAGACTCTTTGGGCTGGAAACATATTCCTGGGGTGAAGGCACTTGCTCTGCATACAGCCAACCCCAATTCCATCCCCAGCACCGAGTAGGGTTCTCCCAAGCACAGCCAGGTGTGGTCCCTAAGCACAGACCCAGGAGTAAAGCCCTGAGCACTGCCTCATGTGGACCCCCCAAACAAACAACAGAAGTCTAGAATCTTGGGCTGAGGAGACAGTACAGGGGTTAAGGCTCTTGCCTTGCCTGTAGTGACCCCAGCTTAATCCCCAGCACCCCAGGATCACTGAGTACTGGCAGGAGTGACCCCTGAGCACAGACAGGCCACTGCAAAAACTAATACAAACAGGGGCTGGAGTGACAGCACAGCGGGTAGGGTGTTTGCCTTGCATGCAGCCAACCCAGGTTCAATTCGCATCATCCCATATGGCCCCCTGAGCACTGCCAGGAGTGATTCCTGAGTGCAGTCAGGAGTAACCCCTGAGCATCGCCAGGTGTGACCCAAAAAGCAAATAATAATAATAATAATAATAATAATAATAATAATAATAATAATATAAACAAAAGGTGCTGAGAGATAGGGGCTGTGGTGCCAGCCCTGCATGGGACCAACCAAGGTTCCATCTAATCCTCGCTCAGATGTTTCTGTGGCTGTCGGTCCTGTTTGAGGTGGGTTAGGAGAGAACGCGGGCTCATCTGCTGAGTTTGTTTGAGAGGAGGCTGTGTCTGGTGGGTAGGATGGAAAGCCATCGCCGTCACTAACCATGCAGCCACACGGTCATGGCGTTCAAATACAGAAGTTGCATGTGGCCAGCCTGTCTGCGGGCGCCTCTTTTTCTGCTTATCTAGGGACTGTCGGGATGGCAGCATGAAACCTGGTGCTGAGGCAGGAGCAGCAGTGCAGTGGGCAGAGCACTTGCCTTGCTTGTGGCTGACCCAGACTCAATTCCCAGCACGCCACTTGGTCCCTGAGCCCTGCCAGGAGTGCGCCCTGAGCACTGCTGGGTGTGACCCAAATACAACAACAATAATAAGAGAAGCCTAGTTAAGAAATCTTTGATGACCGCCTCATCAATTATCTGAGACAACTGGACTAAGTAACAACAAAACCAAACTTGACCCGCCCCCAAAGAAAGCCTGTTTGGAGGCAGGAGCGATGGTCCAGCGGGGAGGACATTTGCCTTGCATGTAGCAGACTTGGGTTCGATCCCTGGCAGCCCAAGCACGGCCAGGCATGATTCCTGAGCACAGAGTCAGGAACATCATTGTGTGTGGCCTCAAAAAACAAAAACAAAAACAGATCCCGAAAAAGTCCATTTTAGGGGGCTGGAGCGATAGCACAGCGGGTAGGGCATTTGCCTTGCACGCGGCCGACCCGGGTTCGATTCCCAGCATCCCATATGGTCCCCTGAGCACCGCCAGGAGTAATTCCCAAGTGCAGAGCCAGGAATAACCCCTGTGCATTGCCGGATGTGACCCAAAAAGCAAAAAAAAGAAGTCCATTTTATCAGAAAGTAGCTCAATATTTCAAATAATTCCCTAGGATGGGGTTAAAACCCTCACAATCACTATGTGGCAGCTTCACAACTGGAGGCTGGGACATTGGATTTAAGGCAAATGCAGGGAAGCCCCGGTTTTCAGAGAGCAGTTCTGGACCAGAGGCAGACCTCCGGATCACCGGGAGTGACCCCCAAGCACAAAGTCAGGAGTAGCTCCCAAGCACCACTAGGTGGGATCCAGCCCTCTGCCCTCCCTTCCCCCCCCCCAAAAAAAAACAGACTCCCTTTAGACACTGGAAAGTGTTGATTCTACACTGTCAAAGAGGTACCCAGGGGCTAGAGCGATAGCACAGCGGGTAAGGCCATTTGCCTTGCATGCTGCCAACCCGAGTTCAATTCCCAGCATCCCATATGGTCCCCTGAGCACCACCAGGAGTAATTCCTGAGTGCATGAGCCAGGAGTAACCCCTGTGCATCGCTGGGTGTAACCCAAAAAAGAAAAAAAAAAGAGGTGCCCAGCTTGCCTTCATCCCAGAGACCTCTTTGGCCCACACAGGCAGCCATCGGGGAAGGAGGTCAGGTTGAGGGGGGCATCGGAAAAGCAGGAGGTGTTGACCACCAGGGCAAAGTCTACACCTTATTTCCCCCTGCATCCCCAGATTTTCTATGGAATCATCCCTGGCAACCCCCAGTGAATGAGGTCACTGGATCCAGTGAGAGGTTAACAGATGGGGTGGGGGTGGAGCGGAAGCCCAGCGGCCAGTCTCGCCCTGACCGCACCTAGCTGGAGAAACACCTTAACCGCAAGGCACTGCCTTGTTTAGGAGACAATGTAGGGAGGGGGAATATTTGTTGTCACAGGGCCACTCCTCTAAGCCAGGTGACACAAGCTCGTAGGTAAGCCCACAGTGCCACAGTATGACTGGGATGTGCAGCTGGAGAAATAGAGTCTCCTGGAAATTCCAAAACCCACCAGAGAAAATGCAAGGAATCAGGACTGGACCAATAGGGCATCTGCCTTACATACGGCCCAGCCGGGTTTGAGCCCCGGCACTCCATAGGGTCCCCCGAGCACCACCAGGAGTGATCCCTGAGTGCAGAGCCAGGAGTAACCCCTGAGCACCACTGACTTTTGCCCCAAAACCAAACAAAGAAAAAGAAAAAACAGGAAATCAAAGGAGAAGAGCTGAGTTGCTAATTCCGATGAACTGATTCAGAGGCCTGTGCACTCCACCACACACACACACACACACACACACACACATACACATACACATATACATATACACACAATCTCTCTCTCATGTGCACGCGCGCATACACACACACACACGCACACACACACTTGAAGTGATTCCTTGTGATGATAAAGTGGCCAAAGAGGTGGCACATTTGAGAGCCAAAGTATGGGATATAAGGAAGTCCATTATTAGCTGGAGGGGGTAAGGCACTTGCCTTGCATGTGGCTGGCCCTGGTTTGGTCTCTGGCACCACTGGTCATCAGAGTACCACCGGGAGTGACCCCAAACACAGAGTCAGGAGTAGACCCCAAGCACCACTGGGTGTGGTCCAATCCCTTCCCCGCCCCCCGAAAAAAATAAAACCAGAATCTCATGAGACCCTGGGAAAGACAGGGAAGAGGGACCACGGCGGCCAGAAGGGGAGGCAGACGCAGCAGACAGCACGAGGCTTCCTGAACACACAGCAGCCCCCCCCCACCCCCAGACTCAGCAACCACTTCATTATTCATGGGGAGACGCTGAATTGTGGAGGGGCGGGGGCGGGCGCTCTGCTGCGCTCCTCTGGGGCGAACGAAGCGTTTTGTTTCTTGAGAAGATGGTCTGGCATTATGTCAGTGCGAGTCTAGACACGAGCCCTCCCCCACCGACAAGTCTCCTAGGAACCCGCTCGTAGACCTGCGTGCAGGGAAAATAAGAGCCAGCCCCTGAGCCAAATGCAACAGAAGAAGGGAAGCAACCTCGGGGTCTTCGAGGAGCCGATCAATGAACTGAGTATTGGTAGAGTCATTCAATAAAACGCCAGGTTAT